TTTCTCCCCATGTTGTCATAGCTCTTTTGCAATTCTTCTTTTCTTTCATCTTCTTTACGTTGGGACAATCATATTTAATGTGACCCGATTTCTTACACTCATAACAGATTATTTGATCTTTCTTTTCTTCATCTTTATTGAATGATTTTTTGTGAAATCTTTTTTTAAATTGTTTATCATTTTTCATTAAATTTTTGAACTTTTTAGTGACCATGGCAATGTCACCATCCTCATCACTTGAGTTGTTATCGTCTTCAACTTTTTCTTGAGTTGATGTCTTGAATGTGATTCCTTTCTTCTTCTTGTCATTGTCATCATCGTCGGTCTTCATCAAAATCTCATGGGTCATTAATGACCTAGGAAGCTCATCTAAACCAAGTGTGTTAAGATCATTGGCTTCTTGGATTACCATCACTTTCGGTTTTCAATTCTTTGGTAAGCACCTAAGAATTTTTCTTATCATTTCACTGTTAGTATATACTTTACCAAGATTTTTCAAAGAGTTTTTAATATCAGTAAATCTAGAAAACATTTCAGAAATAGATTCATCAGATTTCATTTTGAATAATTCCTAATTATGAACAAGCATACTAATACGTGACTCCTTAACTTGATTTGTGCTTTCATGTGTGGCTTCTAATTTACCCCAAATTTCTTTAGCAGTGTCACATGCAAAAATTCTATTAAATTCATTAGGACCTATAATGGTTGTCATTGATCAATTCTAAGATTGTTAAAAAAATACTAGAGCCCTTGCCTTGAAGCCAATTGTTACCTAGAAAGCAATCTAAGAAGGGGGTGAATTGGGTTTCTACATAAATTGTTAAATTAAAAAATTAATCCAAATAATAAACAATTAACAATATGAAACAATAAAAATGAGTAATAAATTAAAATTTTATCCAAATGAGAAATAAATATGAAACAATTTAAATAAGACTAATAAAAATAAATTAAGCAAAGGAAGAGAAGAGAGAGCAAATATAGAATTTATAGTGGTTCAGCTCAAACCAATCTTATGTCCACTCCTCAAGATCCTCCCTGAGATTTCTTCACCGTTCATCAAATAGAAATTACACTCCTAGCTTTACAGGTGCTAGTGAACCTTAACAATTAATCAACCCCGATCACTCCAACCAACTAGTTGTGAATCTAGTGCTAGTTACACCTAACCTAAGTGATTTTATCTAAAAAAATCACTCACAAAAATGTAATTCTCTTTTACAAGAAAAAATGATACGGGATTGGAAACCCTTTTACAAAAAAAGCTCAAACACTCAACAAATTTCTTTCAAAGAAATTATATAGCTCAATGAAAATGCACAACGCAATGTTTTAAGAATTCTTGAATATCATGTACAATTTTTCACCACTTCTTTGTCTTTTCTTTTCTCTACAAAGCTTCTTTTATAGCCATAGAAAAACTAGCCGTTGCAAAGAGATTCTAGGTAGGCTCATCTTTCCTACTATTTTTCTTCCATTTGAATTCATTAGCCTTTTGGACTTGCATCATTCTTGCTAAGAAACACTTCAAATCAATCAAAGGATGAAATTGAATAAGAAAATATTTGAAAATGATTTGAATTTTTTTGTGTCAAATGATTGTAAAAAATGTATATTAAAAAATCGCAATTTATGTCATAATATTTTAGCCATCATCAAAATCAAACCATAGGATTAACAGTTTCTAATATCATCTAGCGAGATAAACCTATTGTGGTAAAAATCACGTCCTACGATCCCAAAGTATTCAAACCTAGTAACTCTGATACCAAGTTGTAATGCCCCAAAATAATAACAACAAACGACATGATATTCAATGGAAAAGCAACAATTTATATAAAATTAACCCTTCATCAATATTCTATTACCGTACAAAAGATGACATATGCATATATACATTCATAAATCATAGATCTTGAATCTATAGCATATGACATGTTTAAATGAATTGGAACAAAAGGAAGTACATATAAGTTTATACCCTAGTGACTACATCTTTCCAAGTTAATGCTTGGGTACAACAAAAGTAAGTTACACTCAAAACATAGAAAGCCCAAGGCTTGTACAAAATAATTACACAAAAGAAATAAAAAGAAACTCTTGGCTCCAAGTCCTTCCAAGCTACGTCCTTGGTGGAGGCATATCATCAGCACCTGAAAGTTATTTTCCATGTAGGATGAGCTAAATCCCAATAGAGATTTTTGAACACAATGTATGAAGCTTAACAAAGTCATATAGGTATATGCATGCCATTTGCCAAACATTATACTTTCTCTTTCAAAACAATGTCATGTCTCAGTTATATTTATATCAATTCATAAAACAATTCTTTTAATATCAGAAAATAGGGCAGCGAATATAAAAACACCAGGAATCTTTAAGTACTTGTCTGCTAGTAGGCTATACAAGCACTACCAAAACCATTTTACCGGTACTAACCGGAAAGATTGGCATCTAATCACGTGGGTTTCTGGACTTTCACTAAGAATACACAGGCTAACAATACAACCCACAACCACATCCCCTAACCAAATTTACTAATACATCTCATTTTCTCAAAGCAATATATTTTCAATGTTTAAGTATGAAACAATGCTCAATGCAAGATGTATGAATATTAGTTTCAATTAATCTAATCCTCATGCAATTTCTACAACAATCAAAGTTATCCTTCACCGATAACCCAAAACAGATATCTTTATTCAACGAATAAATTTTCAACAACAGATATAATCTTATAAATCTCAAAATGGGAGTGATAATATTATATATATATATATATATCCAACTTCACTTTCATCATCAACAAATATATTCATTTTATCCTTTCAAACCCAGCATCTTTTCCTTTTCTTCCATAAAACGAATATCGATGATTTTCTAATAAAACATCATTTTCATTGAAAAACACATTTAAAGAAGGAATTTTCAACATCTCAACACAACTCAATAGTATTCACACTCCCACAACATTTTTCAAGAACCCATTTTGAAAATCCCTCTTTTTACATTTTAAAACCCAAACTCTAAATCAAACCCCAATCTCCCAACTCACAATACTTGACAAGAAGCACATAAGTAAGTTAAGAATCATACAAGAAGGTTGAAGAAATCCACACCTTAAGATTAGAAGAAGAGCAGAACAAGTGTTGAAGTTTGGTGGAATCAAAAATGAAACCTTCTTCGATTAGATTGATCTCATCCACAAGCTCTGTGTTTTACTCCAAGCACTATGGTGGTGGAATCAATGGATTAGGGTGTCTAGAAGGGTTTTAGGCAAGAACTAAAGAGAGAGTGAAGAAATTAGATTTAGAAATGTTTTAGAGAGAGGGAGAGAGAGAAAGATGAATGAAAAAGTGACAAAAAAGTCCTTTCCCCGATCTGATATATGCATAGACCACTTGAGCGACCAAACCATCACACGAGCGTCAGAAACAAATAAGTGACACCGCTTAAGCGACCAAAACACGGCTCGAACGCACAATGACCCCCTCCCAAAAGTTTTGCAAACTGCAAAAGACCACTCGAGCGAAGAAAGGACCGCTCAAGCGAAGATCACCCTACTCCTACTAGTTTTGCAGACCTGCAAAAGTACCGAGAGAACTTAAAGACCGCTCGAGTGACAAAAGCATCGCTCGAGCAAACAAGAAAAGAAACATGCAGCAATTCTCTTAAGATACTAACTCCTAATTTGTTCGCTAAACAACGAACAACTCCAAACAACTAAATCTGAATAATAACAAGATAAGAACAAGTATAGACAACAATAAATAGTATTAGATCCTGAATCCAACAACATGAAAGGGTCGGGTCTAACCCAAGCCGTTATAATCACATATTGAATTCAATCTATTTAAAAATTACATGACATTCAATAACGTAATTAAAATCAACTATCAAATAATAATTAAGTAAAAAAATATGTATCTTGAGTTTTTGTTCTTCAAATGGGTTCAAAAGACCCTATCTACAATTGGTTTTCGTTATATATATATATATATCGACTATTATGAGTTAAAAACAACGCAGTTTATTTGTATGTTTATTAAGGAATTTGAGATGCATTCACTTGAAATGCTCCTTTGTGTAGAGGACTTTTTGTTGCAAAAAAGAAACATATCATTCACTACAAGAAATTGTACTTTTGGCGACTAAATTTTTAGTCGCTAAAAGTAAGGTTTTTAGTCGCTGAAATATTTTCTCGACTAAATATTTTGGTCGCCAGATTGGTCGCAGGAAGGTTGTCGGGGAAAGTATTGGTGACTAAAAAATATTTTAGTCGTCAAAAGTCCTATAAATGGCAACTAATATTTTTAGTCACCAAAAATAATATTTTAGTCGCCAAAAATTTTATTTTCCGCTACTAAAACTTTGGTCGCCAAAACTTGTAGTATCTACGGCGACCAAAGTTTTAGTCACCAAAGGGTATTTTTTCCATCTTATTTTATTATTATTATTTTTTTAACTACTAAATTCTTAGTCGCCTAAAATCTTTTTTTATTTCAACTACTAAATATTTAGTAGCCAAAAGTTTTTCTCTATTTTATTTTTATTTTTAGCTACTAAATATTTAGTAGCCAAAAGTTTTTCTCTATTTTATTTTTATTTTTAGCTACTAAATATTTAGTAGCCAAAAGTTTTTCTCTATTTTATTTTTATTTTTAGCTACTAAATATTTAGTAGCCAAAAGTTTTTCTCTATTTTATTTTTATTTTTAGCTACTAAATATTTAGTAGCCAAAAGTTTTTCTCTATTTTATTTTTATTTTTAGCTACTAAATATTTAGTAGCCAAAAGTTTTTCTCTATTTTATTTTTATTTTTAGCTACTAAATATTTAGTAGCCAAAAGTTTTTCTCTATTTTATTTTTATTTTTAGCTACTAAATATTTAGTAGCCAAAAGTTTTTCTCTATTTTATTTTTATTTTTAGCTACTAAATATTTAGTAGCCAACACAATGAGACAAACTCAGAACATTTATAATCAAGTTGTGGGTGATATTCCACCCCAGATCTCAATTAACCTTATCCCAAATCTAGGTGAACTTCTGCAGATTGGCCTACACTGTAAAGCCATTTATCAAAAGATTAAAATGATAGCTACCTAAGAAAACAGTGGTTGCAACATCCTTAGTGTCCAAATCTGAACCACTTACATTCACAAGATGTTGCTCTCATCAGAAAACTTGTGCTCCCGAGCCACGCAGCTGGACAAGAATTCAAAGCATAATCCACAAACTCGAAAACTACAAATCAAGCATTCCCTTCTTTATCATTAAGCAAAAGCAAGCAATCAGACGAGCATGTTGTTGTGGGTGCTGCAATTTCTGTCTCTTTGCCATCTCTTCGTTTTGTCGCTACTGTTGCCTTTTTTTCTTTGTCTGGAACTCGTGCGATGATTCATATTTAGGCAAACTATGCAATCAAAGAACAGGAAAGATTAATTTAATATAAACAAAACTGAGACACCTTTATTTGACAAGCAGAGATCAGTCAAAATATTAATAGAGAGGCTTCAGGAAACCTCAATTGGAGGTGTAAACATATGAAATGCAGAAGGTTTGGCACACTATGACTGAATTTTCCAAGTCTTGTTGAAGGTACATGATTAATACCAAATCTTTTCCTTAGTACAATGAATCAGTAAGTAAAATTCATGCAGCATAGCTAAGAAGAAAGATGTGAGACATACCTTCTAGGATCGCAAGGTAAGGGGTCAATCCAAAAATATTCAGCATCAAGGGCATCCTTTGCAGATATTCTCTGTGTGAAATGGAAAAAGGGAAAAGGGAAAAAAAAATTCAAGGAATTGAAAGTTGTTGAACAAAAATGAAAAATGTATACATAGAACTGCACCAAATCTAATCATCTGTGCTTATATGTTCATGGCCTTTCTAATCGAGTTTTTGGAAACAGAAATGCAAAATGCAGTCACCAAAACAATCCATAAGCCACCAAAAATCAACAATCCCTGAAGACATAGAGATGAAACCATCATGATCCTCAATTGTATATAAAAATGTGTCATTAATTAGATGATTTAGGATGTATGTGTTTTGATGGGATATTGGAATCAAACTATTTTTAGATTATGCAAGCCACCTCAATTATTAAATTATAAGCTCAGAAGGATTTTACAATGAAGCGGTGGAATGTATCATTTCCCCAAATTATACTCGCAAAAAAATAATCATCCTCCTGGTCCTTCCAAAGCCCAACTTTGTTTGATATGCCTTAATTTCAAAGCAACTAGCTAATCCTTTCTCTGTCAAGAAGAACTCTCTAGCCAGTCGTAGCAACTAGGAGGTTCTTGCAACTAAGGTTTTAAATCCTATTTTATAGAGCACTGTAAATACCCAATACCTTGGATACATGGTTGCTTACCCAACAAGATCTAAACTTTTAATTCAATTTTTATTTTATTTGTATACATGCAAATTTTTTATTTATTTTCTGAAGAAACAATTAGGGCATGAAAAGCATCCAAAATCATTATGTTCCATTTAAGTTAATGAAATATATATTTAATGTACTTAATCACAAAGTCAGTCAAAAAATGGATCTCGGTTTTATTTTTTAAAAGATTGAATTTTGGTAGACCTATAACAACTAGTAAAGGGTTAGCATTTTCTCCACACCCTTTTTGCAATAAGTCAAAACTCAGATTTATATTGTCATTTTCCAAACTAATAAAGTAAGTCATTCTATTGACATTGTAGTGTCAGTTTCTCCAAACTAATGAAGTAAAAAAATCATCATTTAGTTTGTCAATAAACTAATCATTTTAGTCTGAAATTTATAGACAAACTAAAATCCTTCCACTCCCTGTTGCTAGACCTAAAACAAACTAACAAATTTTGGTACATCACATTATCGCATAATTGTGTTCACTGGCACACTTAAATAAAAATGCTATGGCTATGAAGTGTCTGATAGTCTATAATAACAAGTTCACTAAGCCTGAGATTTATGTGTACCTGAGATGGATCAAGGGTTAGCATTTTCTCTAGTAAATCCAGTGCATGACGGTCAAAACTGCAAAGCAATATAAGAATTATGGATATCAAACTTCTTGCACTAAAATGGACACCAAAAAATCCAAGTCTAACTAACAACTTCAATTGTATACTTACTGTCTAAAAACCTCCCTCACTCGCCTCGTCATCGGCCTTGTTGGCTTGAACTTGTTATACTAGGGAATCTTGGAAACCCCAGGCCAAATAATCTCATCTGGAGATCCGCACAGCTCAAATATCTTGTTCAATTGTTCAGGCTAATGTTTTGAAAAGCAGTTGCGGTTGCCGTAACGGTGGCGGTGGCGGTGGCGCGGTTGCGGTTGCAGGGTGTAAAGGTCGTAGTGTAACTGTTGTGGTAACCGGAACCTTGAATTTTTTATTTTTCGCACAACTTGAAAAAAATTTACCGATACGCATATTTTTTTTCCATGATCCTATTTATTGGGTTTTAAAATAAATATTGATAAATTTTTTGTAAATTTTTAAGTATGATCCAATATATTTCAAATTTTTAAATCACTATAAACTGAGTTTTTTACATTTTATTTTAATATTTAATGACTTTATATTATACAAAAAATCAATCACTAACTATTATATATAAGATAAACAATGACAAAAGTAAGAGAATAAATAAGAGCCAAAAATATATATATATATATATATATAAAAAAATCATCATTTAGTTTGTCAATAAACTAATCATTTTAGTCTGAAATTTATAGACAAACTAAAATCCATCCACTCCCTGTTGCTAGACCTAAAACAAACTAACAAATTTTGGTACATCACATTATCGCATAATTGTGTTCACTGGCACACCTAAATAAAAATGATGTGGCTATGAAGTGTCTGATAGTCTATAATAACAAGTTCACTAAGCCTGAGATTTATGTGTACCTGAGATGGATCAAGGGTTAGCATTTTCTCTAGTAAATCCAGCGCATGACGGTCAAAACTGCAAAGCAATATAAGAATTATGGATATCAAACTTCTTGCACTAAAATGGACACCAAAAAATCCAAGTCTAACTAACAACTTCAATTTGTATACTTACTGTCTAAAAACCTCCCTCACTCGCCTCGTCATCGGCCTTGTTGGCTTGAACTTGTTATACCAGGGAATCTTGGAAACCCCAGGCCAAATAATCTCATCTGGAGATCCGCACAGCTCAAATATTTTGTTCAATTGTTCAGGCTGTAGTAAATATTCAACAAATAGAACACTGCATTAATTATACATAACCTAGATGAAACTTAAATTCTATGTGAAAAGAAATAATAGCAATAAGACCATGAATAAAATATAGAACAAGTGGACAAATTATTTTTAATTTTTTATTAAGTAAAATCTAATTTTGGTTTCATTTATTGTAAAATAATAAAATTAATGCTGCAATCAATTTTGAAAATTAATTTATGACAAGGTCGTGATAGCTAATCATAAGGTCAAGCATAATACACCACAATACAGTTATGAATTTTTCATCTTCAACACCTTGTTCCAGTTGATTACAAACTAAACCATTAAAGTCCTTCTTCTTGGTAGGGTTGCAATATTTTATCAGGGCTTTAAAAATATGTTAAAAAATAAGATTTCTTTCATCGCTAGGCCGGTGAATGTAGATATAGATCTTCTACAGGAAACTAAGGTGGCAAGGATAATTGGGGTACAATAAATGCATCTGCATTAAATAATCTGAAACTACATAATTTATATTGGCACTTAAGATGCATAAAAATTAAAGAACAAACACAATTAAAACATAAATGTCCAAAAAAATAAACCTGACCTAAAAATGATCAAGAAAAGGCCATAAACAGGGCACACATTCAATCTTGATGGAGCTTCCGTGGGTGATGGAGATGCTTTAAAAGTCCATAACTTGTCAATCTTGAACCAGAACAGGGCACACATTCACAAATATTCACTAGTATGTATGCAGAATTTTGAAAAAAAACTGGAGAAGTTAATGCAATTAGGTTCAATGTTTGATTAAGAAACACAAATAGAAGTCCAAAACATTGAAATTAGAATGTAGACCAAATCAGAATCCAAAACCTAAAATCTATAGGCCATAATATAACATATCTCTAAAAATCCAAAACCTAAATTCACCATTTCTTTTCAATGAAGAGCTTGACAGGTGTAGATTTCCAAAAATCCAATACATACATAGACAAATTGAAAGAGAGAGAGAGGTTACTGACTGAATAAGATCTGGGAGCTGTTGAGCGCGAGAGCGAGGGTTAATGCCCTTACGCAGGACATTGTCGTGCATATTATGTTTTGGACTCGATCTAATCCTTCACCCATCTTACATCCTCTGCTGTCAGCGAGATCATTTCTCCCCCAGACACGACGGCTCCGGCGGTGGTTAAGGCCGCAGGAGAGGGGCAAGAACAAGAAGGAGGAGGAGGAGGAGGAGAGAGAGAGGACAAAGAAGAAGGTCGCGGCCACAGCAGCAGCCGCCGAGAGCACCACAACAGGCACCGAAGAGGGAGACGGACGCTAGAGAGAGAGAGAGAGGTGCTGGTTTGTTTGGTTTGGAAACCAAATATATATATATATATTACACCATTAGCGACAAAAACTTTTAGTCGCCAATTAATTTATTTTATTTAACCCTCCAGAATTTGAAAGGTTTCCCTCCAAATATTTTAGTTTTTTGGCAACTAAATTTTTTTTTTTGTCGCTGAAAGTATGTTTTTGGCGACCAAATTTTTGGTCGCCAAAATATAAAAAATAATTTTTTATTTTTCATTCAGCGACTAAATGATTTCAGTAGCCAAAACTCACTATATCGCGACTAAAATATTTTTTGTCATTAAAAATATGTTTTTGGTGACCAAACTTTTGGTCGCCAAAGATAACAAATAATTTTTTATTTTACATTTGGCAACTAAATCATTTTTAGTAGCCAAAACTCAATATGCGGCGACTAAAATAATTTTTTGTCTCCAATTCTAGTATTTTTAGTGACTAAATTTTTTTGTAGTCGCCAATAATTAATATACCCTGACTAAAAAAAAATTAGTAGCTAAATATTATACTTTTGCTAACTAAAAAAAATTTTGGTCGCCAATTCCACGACTTTTGGTGACTAAATTTGTTTTAGTTGCCACTTTTAGTCGCCAAAGGTGCATTTTGTTGTAGTGATTTAAAAACCTACTTAATTAGTGTACTCACTACATCTATAAAAAGAAACAAATTTAAACCAATGAAGATCTCAAATAAAAATATAACAATGTAAGCAAAAACGTTATAGAGTTACATAATTAAGTTTAGCTATACTTGGATTTAAATCGAGCATTCTCCTTATATATTAGAACAAAATGGAACACATAAATTAATATAATTGAAGAAAAAATATAATGAAATGTAAATGGGATTGAACCAAAATTTCATTCAAACTCGTGAATGTGTTCCAAATGCTCTTCTCGATTAGTAAATTTTCTCAAAATAAAATGTGTGAACTCCAATTGCATTGCAAAATATTACTTTTTGCATTGGCCTTTTAGCCTTTCGTTACCACTTCTACTTTTTTCTTATACATTATACTTGTAAAATTTTTAAAAAATGAACAATAGATTTTGGAGGCACAATCACATCTACTACATTATTATAATTTCAACAACCAACTTAGATTATGAAGCCAAAATAAATAATAATAATAACACCAAATAAACTAAAACTAAAATAAAGAAAAAAAAGGGATCTACATCACCTCTTGAGCTCCCAGCACACACACACACCAGTGCACTTTGAGGGTGATGAAGGAGCCGCCGATCGAGCTTCCGTGGGTGATGGAGATACTTTAAAAGTCCATAACTTGTCAATCTTGAACCAGAACATCCATACATTCACAAATATTCACTAGTATGTATGTAAAATTTAAATAAATAAATAAAAAAACTGGAGAAGTTAATGCAATTAGATTCAATGTTTGATTAAGAAACACAAATAGAAGTCCAAAACATCGAAATTAGAATGTAGACCAAATTAGAATCCAAAACCTAAAATCTATAGGCCATAATATAACATATCTCTAAAAATCCAAAACCTAAATTCACCATTTCTTTTCATTGAAGAGCTTGACAAAGTGTAGATTTCCAAAAATCCGATACATACATAGACAAATTGAAAGAGAGAGAGAGAGAGAGAGAGAGAGAGAGAGAGAGGTTACTGACTGAATAAGATCTTGGAGCTGTTGAGCGCGAGAGCGAGGGTTAATGCCCTTACGGAGGACATTGTCGTGCATATGATGTTTTGGACTCAATCTAATCCTTCACCCATCTTACATCCACTGCTGTCATCGAGATCATTTCTCCTCCAGACACGACGGCTCCAGCGATGGTTAAGGCCGCGAAAGAGGGGCAAGAACAAGAAGGAGGAGAAGGAGGAGGAGCAGGAGGAGAAGGAGAAGAAGAGAGAGGACAAAGAAGAAGGTCGCCGCCACAGCAGCAACAACCAAGAGCACCAGAACAGGCACCGGAGAGGGAGACGGACGCTAGAGAGAGAGAGAGAGGTGCTGGTTTGTTTTGTTTGGAAACCAAATATATATATATATATTACACCATTAGCGACAAAAACTTTTAGTCGCCAATTAATTTATTTTATTTAACCCTCCAGAATTTGAAAGGTTTCCCTCCAAATATTTTAGTTTTTTGGCAACTAAATTTTTTTTTTTGTCGCTGAAAGTATGTTTTTGGCGACCAAATTTTGGTCGCCAAAATATAAAAAATAATTTTTTATTTTTCATTCAGCAACTAAATGATTTTAGTAGTCAAAACTCACTATATTGCGACTAAAATATTTTTTGTCGTTAAAAATATGTTTTTGGCGACCAAATACAAATAATTTATTATTTTACATTTGGCGACTAAATCATTTTTAGTAGCCAAAACTCAATATACGGCGACTAAAATAATTTTTTTGTCTCCAATTCTAGTATTTTTAGTGACTAAATTTTTTTGTAGTCGCCAATAATTAATATACCCTGACTAAAAAAAATTAGTAGCTAAATATTATACTTTTGCTGACTAAAAAATTTTGGTCGCCAATTCCATGACTTTTGGCGACTAAATTTTTTTTAGTTGCCACTTTTAGTCGCCAAAGGTGCATTTTGTTGTAATGATTTAAAAACCTACTTAATTAGTGTACTCACTACATCTATACAAAGAAACAAATTTAAACCAATGAAGATCTCAAATAAAAATATAACAATGTAAGCAAAAATGTTATAGAGTTACATAATTAAGTTTAGCTATATTTGGATTTAAATCGAGCATTCTCCTTATATATTAGAACAAAATGGAACACATAAATTAATATAATTGAAGAAAAAAATATAATGAAATGTAAATGGGATTGAACCAAAATTTCATTCAAACTCGTGAATGTGTTCCAAATGCTCTTCTCGATTAGTAAAAATTTTCTCAAAATAAAATGTGTGAACTCCAATT